GCATTTCTTGGACCTGTTAGTCTGCTTGCCGATCCTGCTTATCGGTTCCACTTGCAGTTACCCTACAATGAGCTGATTGTGGCTGGTGTGCGGAGGAGGAGAATAATGGCGCAGTCTTGGATATAAACGCTAAGCTAGCAAAGAACCCAGAGCGATATTAAAAGTGAGCGAATGCTGCTTTGTGTGCAGGTCGAATGATTGGAATCCAGTGTTGCTGTTTCCGATCCCACATTTACCATGTAAGAGGAAGACAGCTCAACCCTCAATCTAACCTCTTCCTTTTCCCCATAACTAATCACTCACACACTCACTCAGTCTAAAGCACCTTGAGCCTGGGTGTGCAGTGACATACAGAAAGGAGAGGCAGACACACACTCAGACAGAGTCTGCTGTCCTTCAGCGGAAACAGCTTTTCCTCAAGAGCTGCCTTCAAAAAACACTTGACAAGAACAGAAATTGGCAATTCATTTATTTACTTGTTCATTTATTTTTGCCCTTGTTCTCTCCCTGCTCATTTTTTTATTGATCGCAATCACTTGTTCCTTGCACGTGTTCAAATTGCAGAGTGGCTTTTTGTCTTTCTTCCCGCCTCAACTGCAGGAAGAATGGCCTAATCAAGGCAAATTGGTGATAATCTACTTGTGAGAATAAGCAGGAAACAGAAAGAACGACTTCAGCAAAAAACGAACACAAAAACAGAAAGCAACAAAAACTTAGGCAGGAAAGAGCGCAACACAAACAGACAATGCAAAACAGTTAGAAATGCATGAGACACAGGTGGAGAGGCAGATAAAGATATGAATGGGACCTACCGACTTGTTGTGTGGTCTAGTGTTGGTACCGTCTGATGGAGTCCTGTTGTACCGTCTGTGGTTCCAAGACTAAGGGCAGAAAGACACACATGTATTACATGCTAAACGTTCCTGTTGTCTGTAATTCGTGGATGGCAGACGAAGTGCCAACAGACACATCAGCCAATCAAAAGCACCAACTGTGACTGCGCCAACACTGCCTCTAACGAATCACATCGTGTGTTACTTGTGAAGCACACACAATATATTTAGTTCGATGAGTAATCACAATCAGATAGTTGTGTTTTTACTTTACTGAACTTTGGCTTTACTGTTATTGTGAAGATTGTTGTTGTAAAGTGAAACTATATGAAAAGTGTTGAAATGATTTTAAATGAACCTGCAGAACAAAATGTTTTTGTTTCACCCAAACAACAACATTTCTCTGTTTTGGTTCTACCTGTGCACCACCATAATGACTTTGAAATAAAACATTCAATATATAATTAAATACAGACTTTGAACTTTGATTCAAGGGGTTTTACAAACATTTAGAAATGTTTAGGAAAGATGGCCGAACTAAAATCACTGTAAATCCAAGAAACACAAAGCTCTGCCCAGGCAGCTCCCTCTCTGGGAAGTATTTACTTTTTAGGGAATACTATTCTAATTTGGAATAACTACACTTTAAGAAGGTCGTAGTGCAGTAAACACAAGGCCAGGTGTTTACTCTGATTTGATTTGAGTGGTTAATGGAATATACCATAATTGCTGATATGAATAACTTGGGCTTTTTACATGTACAATATTTGACTACAGTGTATTTTTAGCTAACTAGGTGGCTCATTTGCTTTCTCTTGACATCGCTTTCTGTAGAGACATGACACATTTTGAAGCCAAAGGCAGAAGTGAAATAAACGTGAGAGCAGAGGTCAGATGTGACAGGATATTTGGAAAGTGGAGGTAATGCTAATCTGAACGGTCTGTCAAAACGGACTGTTAACATCACCCCACCCTGCACAAAGTCCCCACTATGACAAGGTTACTTGAGCTCTTCTATTGAACTTCTTGTTTCTATGTGTTGTGTTTACCAGGACTCCTGTACCTGTTGTTTCTCTTTCAGCCAGCTTCTGTTAAACCAGTGCATTTTTATAAACATTTATTTTTATTTATTCACTGAGCTGTGTGTCTGCTGTGCTGCATCAAGATCCTCTTTCTTGACCTATTATAATATAATATAAAGCACCTTGAGGCGACTGGTGTTGTCATTTGGGGCTGTATAAATAAAATTGAACTCCCCATAACAGTACGGAGCAACCAACCCCGAAGAAAGCAAGGCTCTTTATGAACTACATCCTCAGCCTAATTTACAGTCAGCGCCTCAGTGGACCTCACTCTGTTCACTTGGCCAGTCTATCTCTATCTAACATAGTCTGTCTCATAATGTTTCCAGAGCAGGTCATTCTGTTCTCGAGTCAGTTTCAGGGTCTCAGTCATGAATTCATGTTTAGAATATGAATTAAGAGATAAAACAATGTCATATAAAAACAATGCTACTTCTGCAATCAGATGTTTAATGTATCTGGTTTCGTCACTAATACGTGACAGTAGCAACTGTAAGTGAATGTGAATATTTCATTTTCCGTTAATTTATATTATGTTTGCGTGGCAGCGCACTTGTGTCTGTCAAGATTAAATAGAGTCGAACTTTGATATTGACGAACTTTGTTCAACCTCGTCTGACAGAGAAAGCGAGAGATGATGATAAATACACACAGCTACTGTTTCAGTTTTTAAAACATCATCAAATAAAAATTCATTGGTAAAATGTCTGCATATAGAAAAACAGACACAAACAGAGAAGTTCAACTATTCAATGTGACATTTAGCTAATCAGATCTGAGGGAGGAAAGTGTGCGGTAAACAAATCCCTCACTCTCCGCCCCACGCCCCCACTCTTCTATAGCTCTCCCTACCCTCTCACTAATCAACACAAGAGCTTTTAGAGTGCAGAGAGGGATTTGTATTTACTCACCAATTCATGTCAACAGCCAAATCTGCTTCATTAAAATGAATAAACAACTATTTACCCCATAAACACTCCACACAGACAAGCATCTCCTTCATAAAAGTTACAATGAGTATTAGCAGTATGTCACCATCAGTTAAGCAAAAGTGATTGCAAAGTAAAATGTGAACACATGTTGAATGAATGACTACAGCTCAGGTCTTTTTATATGAAACTGATAAAAGTTTGTTTTGAATGTGAGGATCTATTTTGTAATGCAACCAGCAATGAGACCATCAGTTGACATGTAATTATATTGGGATCACCAAACGTCTTCCTACGGCTAAAAGAACACTATTGTATTACCTCAGTTACCCAACATAAGAATCCACATTAACCAGCAACAAACAACATATCTTCTGCGTGTACCAAGGTTATTATCGTTAACAAAAACTAACGAAATAACGAAAACTAGAAGTGAAAAAACATTTTCGTTAACGGAAATAAAAATAAAAACAAAAAAAGGAAAACTAACTAAAACT